TTAAAAAAAAAAAAAAACAGCAGTTGATGGAAGTGCAGTGTTTCCATCTAATTGTCGAGCAAATTTTAAGCAAACAAAAATGTCGCAAAAAAAAGGAAATGTAAAATAGGTGCATTTCCGTCAACCAGTTTGAAGCTAACTCTGCTACACAAAGCGGTTACATTAGCACATAGCACTTCTATGCTACAGAAGCTACTGTCGGTAGCATTTATTCAGGGAGTGCAGTTAGTGACAGTGTGGGCTGCCTTGTAGCTCTGACGGTTTGACGGCGTATCAGCGGGGGCGGGGCTTAGCAAAGTTTCAAATTGGGGGATTTTGAATCATTCTTTCATGTCAGCTAGCATGCTATCCATACGAACACGCTGATGAATACACAATTGAATTTTGCAGTTTCCATACAGCTCTTCTAATATGATGTGCAGAGTAAGTGAATGGAAACTGATCTGTGGTGTCACGCCCCTTCAAAGCTGTGAGCTAGTTTCTGTCAATGCAGAGTTTTCAGGCTCATTCAAAAAGCCTCAACAGCATCCTTTGAACAATGTCATTACATTCCGGGCTATCCCTCAGGGGGTGCATTAATCTAATCAAATCCAAACTGCACCCCACAATGCACCCAATAACCTTTTTCACACAGTGGCAACACACCAAATCAATCAAACCTCGTGTAAGGCCTCAAAGGGTGAAAGACTAAACCCTTATTTCCCAATCCCATGTCATGGCTAAATGCTGACAGAATAATAAAGAGTCTTTGTCTTTACATGTTTGAATGCTTACAGCGTGAACATTTCTGCACAGCACCTGCTGGAGACGTGCATCACTGCCGCCTCCCACAGGCTGCTCCTCACACTGCAACAACACTGAAGCCTGACGACTCGCTGGGGGAAAGAAAATAAGGCAGACGATTGCTCCTTACCTCATCTTGTCAAATAGATTTTGTGAAACACACGCAATGTGAGCCGGAGAGCATGCAAAGCACAGCGGTGACTCAAACAAGACGGTACGACAGACAAGTTTCACTGCAGCGGTTTTAATGGAAAAACTATCTGGGGCTTGCTTTGCAAAGCTAGGCTTAAGAGACTCCTAATCCACTCCTAGTGTTGCATGCAGTCAGTCATGTGAATGCATTTAGAGGGAATCCATGTCCTATGTGATTACATAGTATTGACACTAGTTTTATTTTGACCAATGACCATGGAACATGACTTACAGTCATGCTAGCAGCCCTTTGAGGGCTGTACTGGAATGTTCGTATGTCGATGATTAGTGGTTTAGCATGCTAATCTGCACTAAATACTAAAATATCAGATGGTTAATGGGAATGCCGTTCATTTTGCAAAGTATTGTGACTTAAAACCAAAGTACTGGACAAATTAAAAACAGGAGAAATGTGCATCTCATCGCATCGTCCACTTGGAGTTATGTGCTTGTTAGAGGATGGCTTTCCAAGGGCCATTGAAAAGTGGCCCCATTGCACTTTTAGAGTACGTAGTTGTAACTCTCTTCATCTTTGGGAAATGTGCCAATAGTTTTATCAGGGACTTAAAATCCAGGCTACTAATAATGGATGTAACTGTAGAATCTGGGTTAGACTGAAAGGCCTGAATGAAAGGCCTGCAGGTAATCTGGCCGACTACGACAGGTGCTCAATATTCTAACTAAGCAGTAATGAGAGAAACCAGCACACTGCTGTCACCTTTAATGTCATATTCTAGATAGGCCACTGGTTCTATTTCTACCTATCTCAGCCTACCTTTCACATGGAGGGATTCTCATGCAGCCAAAAAGAACGTGAATGTTTTCCACACTAAAATAAAATGGCTATTTTTAGAGAACTGGGTCAACTGGGTCAGAGGATTTATTCTTTTTTATGGTCACTGCCCAATTTCTGCAGACAAGTCTGGCTGCACTGCTGTGGCTAATCGTGTATATTAAAGACATGGTAACCATTACGAATAAGTGACACGGGGTTAAAGGGGCACTCCACCAATTTAACACAGTCTTCTGTAGCTCTGGGAGGGCTTTGTCAAAATAACCCCGATGATGTCATAAGGATAGGATGATGTCATCACGGCAGGGCTAGGCGATAACACAATATGGTCATTTATCGTGATGAAATCGCACATCGAGATATCGTGGTGCACAATGACATCATCTAAATTGATCATAACAAGCAACATTACTCGTGAACTCTGATGTGAGATATGCAAATTAGCAGATGTGATTATGCATTACAGTACTGCATGCTAATGATCACTGGTATGCCTTTTTAGCAAAAGCATACTTTCTATATATTTCATAAAAACAGGAAATTATACAACACATGTGACTTTGGATGTCAATTCAACTTCCCAAGAGACTTCAAAAATGTTTTCCCCTTGAGTTAATCCATATTTTTTTAGTTTCTTAAGATCTTTCTGGAGCACCACAACCCACGATGTATTTTAATGTGTTTCAGCTGGGAGCAGCGTTAGTTGTGTTTCACCAGAAGCGAAACTTTTTCTTTTCATTTGTATCTTATTAAAGTGCTCATGATCACACTCTTCTTAAACAAGACATTACACTGATGTAGTCCCCATCTGTAATATTGTTTCTTTACACAGAGATCTGTTGGAATCTGTGAAATGTAATGTCACTGTCTGCTAAAGCTTAGGCAGATTCTTACCATGAACCACAAGCAAAAGAAAACTCCAAACACTGAAGATCTTACAATAAGTTGAAATCTCCCTTCCACTCTCTCTTGAATCAACACTTCGGGCCTTGTTGCAGAAACAAAAACACGCAGCAGCTGTCAAATAAAAATGATGTGGCGCTCAAACAAGTACAGGCGTTTTTATTTTGTTTCCATGCCTGAGCCTGCAGGCTCTAAAGAACGATCGCAGCCTTGATTGTGGTGGAGACTGTGGCAACATGTCAAAACCATGTCATGAAGTAAGAATTTTGCATTACAGTGGTGCTGATTTGTGCTGTTTTCTATCTGTTTTAAGGGGGAAATGAAGGCTCACACACACACACACACACACACACGCCAGGCAGGCCATGGAAGCAAAAAGACAGCGGGTGTTTACGCCAGCGAAAAAGCGTATAAACGACAGAGTACGAGGTAGCCTAAATAAAGAAGACGTGGAAACCGCATGGCCAGAAAAGCCCTCAAATCAGCCATCAGCGGCCACGAACCCAGGTCCTGTATCATGACCCAGATGTAGGTCAGCAGTGCTGAAGCATCTGCAAATCTGCAGATTATCTCCGCCAGGGTTTTTTTTCAATGCCCTGATCAGACCAAATCCTCTAAAGAGGAGTTCACTCACAAGTGGAGCTGCTCATAGCTGTTTATGTCTCATAGACAAAAAGAGAGTGGACAAACAACCCGAAATACAAAAAGACAAAGACAGAATTTGAGTGTTTCTATAGTATGCATGCGTGTGTGTGCATGAAGAAATGAGCAAAGACACTCCTTCTGCAAGGCAGCGAGAGGGCAGAAAGAGGTGTAAAAAAACCCTGAGCAAGCATTTACCGCAGTTGGAAGTGGTTATTAAAACAGCGGGGGCTGTCTTTACGGCTCCACTGCTTGGCCTGCGCTTTGTTTACTAAGGTAGCTGAGCGAGGCGACCACGCCTGCAGTAACCGTGTGTGTGTGTGTGTGTGTGTGTAAGCGAGCATCCAACTTGCCCGATCTAGCCTCGGTCTTGAACCCTGATGATTTAGCACACATGCAGGTATTCATGATTAATGGGCCCTGTGGTGCTTTGGTGCGACGCCGGGTGAAAGAGGGCACGTTTTAAAAATAGCCAGGACACCTACCATCATCATCATCCATTATTTAATACAGCCCAGGGATCTGAGCTGACATCCATTATGCCACTCTACTCACTGTGGACTAAAACAGAATTAATAGGGCTAATACGACACCGATTAAAATGAAGACTAAATAATGGATTGTGCTCTACTATACCAGGAAAAGGAGTATGTTACTGTAGGGACTCTGTAAGACCTGCCTTTCAAATACTTCCTCCATTCTTTAGGATTACATTTACACAACCAGATAAGATCAAATTCACATTGCAGTCCAAGACCAGCCAACCTGCTGCTTGCTGGGTGAAATCTGAGCTGTTGTGGACATTCTTTCATGTCTAGTATACTATATATGTATATATATCCATGTCAAAATGGGCAGGGGAAAACAGCTGCGCCATAAGTACAAAGTCAAAAATAGAGGTCCAGAGAGGCACCATAGCAGGCACGTAATGGGACCCAGGTGCATGTCTGGTCGTCCGCTCAAAAAAGGTATTTTGTGATAACTTTAAGTGCAGATGTTTCGCCAATTCAGCCAGAACATCATGTACCGCTGCCGAAATGAGTTAAAGGGACACTTGTCATGGGTAGGTCCCCAACTCTGGAGGAGAATCAAAAGTAGGCCTTAAGTTAGAAAAGGTTTATCACTTTTTCGCGGATGGGAAGCTGGTGAGGGATAATGGGATTTCCGCATATTGATCACCGTTACGCAACAAGAGCACAGTCACTGGCTTAGTCGGGGTAAGTCCCTGAGGATGAGGACACTACATTTTAACGTAGAGGATGTCACGCCTACACAATAATAATATCATCATCCTCATCATAATAGACTAATGTTCAACTGAGTGCATCCTGACATACAGTCGAATAAAAACTGTCTTTGGCAATTTTTCCCTTAGTCATTACTGTTCCTGTCTGACCTATCTGGTTGCAAGGTGCACCTAGGGGGGGTCAGGTGACAGGATGAACTAAAGAAACGTGCAGGTGTGTGTGTGTCCCTTTAGAGCTGGAGGTGTACGTTTCAGTTACCTGGTAACCCCTTTGAGAAAGTAACAATAGACACCCTAGCACCAAGTGACAGCATAGCTATAGAAATGTCACCATTCTCAAAAGAATATAATAGGTGATACAACTTATAACTAAAGTTAAAAAGACCCCCATGCAAGCAGCTTCGTGCTGCCGTCTTATGTGAGTGCATTCCCCGCTCTTACCATCAACACTGACGTCCTGACAGCCTCGGAGACGCTCTGCCTCAGCTCCGCGGCGGTGCCCGGCTTGTTGAGCCCCCGGGTGAACTTCCTCGCCTCGGGTGGAGCAGAAGCCATGGCGCGGCCCCACCTTTCATCAGACGGCCAGGTTCGCTGAAGAGGAGCGGGACCACCGGTCGGGGTGCTGCTGTTCCAAGCGGCGACGCGAAGGTTCGGAGTCCCCTTCGCTCCGGGCGGTCTCGACGTGCGTAAAGGCGCACTGGTTTATCCTGCCATTACGGTACCCTTGATGTTAACATTTACGCGCTCACGTGTACAGGTGAAGCAGCAGTCCAGGAGGCCAGAGGATGACTGCCCTTGTCAACAGCCGACATCCGAAGCTCGCTGCGCTCTGTCCTGTCAGCGGAGGTCCCTCGCGCCAACTGGCACGCCCCCTTCCTCCGTGTAACAGCGTCTAGTAGGACAGCGCTGTAAACTAATTCATCCATCATTTATACTTTTATATAACATGACAGCATTATTTCAACACTGTGTCTGAGGGATACTCTCAGCTTGCCAGATATGCTAGTTAAATATAAATTGATAGGTAGAAAGTTAGGAATATTAGATTGCAATTCCCCTAATTTGAGCTGCACATAATACTATTTTGAGGTTATATAACTACAATCCCGCATACTGTTCCTCCGTAGGTACGGGCTAACGTTGCCACCTGCTGGAATAATTATTGTTTTGGCTATACAGTTTGGTGATTTAGGCCTTAAACTCTGTGTAAAGTTATGTGACCACACAGAGGCAGTAAAGTAACACTAATAGTTCAGTAACTATCGATGCATTCAGCAACAATCGGAAATAGTAACTTTAAGGAGGTCAAACGTTAAATTAAAGGGATACCCATGAGGAAAAAGTGCAACAACAATATCTACTGGTATATATTGTTGTTATACTTTTAAAATGTGTATTTATTATAGGACTATTGGCATGTTTTCACAAATAACTAGAAATGATGTAGCCTCTCTCTCAGAAAAATACCTGATATAATAGCGCACATATTGAAGCAGCATTTTTCCTGCATTCAGATTGCTTCACATTGCTTTAAAATGCAAGTTCAACCTGAGCCAAGCTTTACAGTGTTTACTACAGTAAAGTGAAAAACTCGGAGACTTGCATGGAGTACCTGAACGCAGCACGTGTTTTGGTGTTATATCCATAGTCTGCGGCACAGCGGCGCTGCATCACCCCGCCTCCTGCAGGACTGTCCTCCACCCCCAACCCACAGCAACCTGATACCGGAGACGAGCGGTCCAGACAAGCCTGCAAACGAGGCGTTCCCCCCGCCGCCCTGCCTGCCTGCCTGTCTGTCTGCACAGCGGAGCTCCAAAGCGTCAATGCCAAACGCCGCCGACTGCCTCGGGGAAGATCAGACCGAGATATAGCCGATCCCTCGTCCCATCGGCGGCCGGGATGGGTGTAATAATCTCCGTCTATCGCAAACCAGAGAAGCTCACTGTTTGCGCCGTTGACTTGTGATTTTTTTCCCCTCTCAGCGGAGATCGTGAAATGAGACGGGACGAACTAACTGGCTAGCTCTCAGGCTAACATCGGTTAGCGTCTATAGCAGTCAGCTTGTAACATAACCGAGCTAATTGGCTAAGGTTTACGCCAAATTCCTGCCTGTGGTGTCGAACGGGTTGACTGTTTTTTTAGTTGAGAATGGTCCGTGCTTACACAAATTAGTTGCACGACGGTTCTTTTTGCGATATTTACCTTCTTTGCCCAAGTTTTCTAGCACCAGACAGTCGCCCCCCCTCCAAGCAGCTAGCATGTTAGCTAGCAGATATGGACGTCGTTGGCTGGCTAGTTGTAAACGGCAGATCCGCCAAAAGCGTTAGATGCTCGGTGTGTCTGTCCGGTCTGTGCGGGACTCGATAACGGGACCAACTTTTTATCGGCAGTGAATGTTAGTTAGACGACCAAAACAACAACAACAACAGTTTTTTTTTTTGCCCCATATATATATATATATTAATGTGTCCCGTGCCTGAGAACTCAGTTCAAGTTATTGAGCTGACGTGAGGACAGCACGGTGGTATCTACTGAACAAGAGCACCAGAGAAGGAGAAGAAGGAGCTCCACCTGAGAGACCAAAGTCGACTGTAAGCTGTCATGGCTGTGGGCCGAATCACGATGAAATCACTCGCTAAATTTGGGTTTTGCCTGACGATTCTCCTGACATCTGTGGCTGGTAAGTGGCTTATTAGGGAATTGATTTTTGTTTTTTTGTAAAGAGGTAAATGTGCTTCTCATGAATATTTGATGCCTTCATTTTGGGCTGCTGCCTGTATTTGTAGCTTGAATAATGTGTACTTGAGCCTCTATTCAAATTATCATATTTTGACTAGGGCAATTACATTTGTGGCATAATTTTTGTATTGGTCATGCAGATTGTCCTCAGTATACATTCCTCCTAAATCACCATATGTGTCTGTCTGTCCCTACTGTCCTCTCCATCTTAGAGTGAACCTTCTTAGATATCTGCCCTGGCTCTTTTTTTTTTTTCTCTCCTCCTAATCATTCTGTGTACAAAGGCCTGGAAAAACACTGCCGAAACATACCGCAGTCCCCGTCTGCCAAGTTGTGCCCCTGTTTAAGACTTTTGGGCTGAAGCCAGGCTTCTGTGAGACCTTGAGCATGATAAGATAGGAGCCCGGCCTGCACAGAGATGGAGGAACAGTTCATGTGAGAGATAGGAGGGAGTATGTGGAATGTGTGGGAAGACAGGGGAGGTATTTTACAAGATGGGTAATTTAGGTGATGGAAGTTCAACATGGTGCTTAGGCTTTGGCAGTGTGTGTGTGTTTGAAAATAGGTCGTGTTGCAGCCCGGGTTTGCTCGTCTGGTGTTGGGTGCGTGGGTGTGAATGTGTGTACAAACAGCTTCTTAATAATATATTGTGTGTGTGTGTGTTGTTGTTGTTGTTGTTGTGGCTCCCCCATCCATTCATAGACTGTGTATTATCAGAAGCCCAGAGTAATTATGGTTGTAGCGGGAAATATGTAAGTGTGGCTCAGAATTTGAATGAACGGTTACTGTGTTTGCTGTTGAAATAGGGAAGAGACTCTATTTGCATCTAACAGACAAGTGTCTTTCCACTTAAATACAATGCCGAGCGAGGACTGTAATTGTTAAAAGTTCCAATGTCCAGAAAATATTTTTCTACCCTCTGATTTATGAGCTCACACATGGAAGAAACACAGGAGAAAAGAGCCTGCTGCTTCTCATTTAATATGTAGAAATAGTGGGGTGGATGAGTAGGGCGAAGGAAGTGGGGTGATTCAGCGGATGGAGCGGGACATGATGTTTTTACTGAGAAGATGAGTTACCAGGTTGTGACGTAGGATCAGTGGGGGGGACGACGACGACAGAGTGCAATTATTTTCAATCCAAATCGTAACATTCAGCAAACCTTTTTTTTGAGGCATGCTAATTAGTAATACTCCCCCCCCCCCCCCCCCCCCCTACAAGAGCGACGCAACGATTACCGGCAGAGGATTGACTCGTTCGCTCAACAATCGGTGCGAGGACGATTGATGGATACTCGTGTGCATGCGTGCCATGTAAACAGACAATAAATTAGAATCGTTGCACTGTGCAAAACTAATTAGGGCGACAGCTTTTCCCTCCGAGTCTGAGCTCCCAACATTGTTTGGACTCCCATCGTCCCGCCTTTCACCTGTTTCTCAAATCGATATTCATTTCCCTTTCACGCTTTTAAATCGTTTGCATCCAGAGCAGACGCTCACCTGCGGCGTGACCTGCAGGTGTTTTTAAGTAGTGGCATTCAGTTCCTGACAGCCCACATTGAGGGCACTGTTGTCCCATTTTTTTTTTTTTTTGAGGGGGTCCAAAGAGGATTAGAGCAGAAGCATTATACCGGGAGCACAAAACCAGGACTGCTCCTTTGCTCCGCCTGTCCAAGCTGTGAGGCTGTGTGTCCTTGGCACCAAACTGTGGCGTTGACAGGCCCACTGTTCCACCGACCGGGCCGCTTCTCTCCGGCCTCGCCGGGGGCCGCGGCGGGCTCTGCGGTCACATCAGCGGAAAGTGAAGTTATTAGCTTGAGTTTAATTTGGTAAACCAGATACAGACTATTGTCAGAACTGGCATTTAATCTGTGAGTTGAATGGCAAGGATGAAGAGGACTGAGATGAGGATGAGTCCGAATAGCTGAAATGCCAAGAACAATACACGCTCAGGAATTTGCCTTGGAGACATTTTAAAAGCAGGAAACGGAAGAGCTGAAATCTCCTTCATGTATTATGGGCTGCAACACTGATTGTACTCGACATGGTACATTTATACAAACCGTAGACTGTAAGAAAGCAGCACAGTAATCGGAGGTGTGCGCGTTTCAATTAACAGCATTGATTTAGTCCAAAGCCCAGGGGCCCTCTCCACCCAGCAGCATCACCTTTAGCTCTCAAGCTAGTCCGCTGCGTGGGCATTATGGTCTGTTCTGAATGTGGACGAAGCACCGTGCTGGAGGTAAACACAGGGACGGTAAATAGGTGGAAGTAGCTCGTAAAATGTTCAAATCAGTTGTAAAGGCAACCGGTGCGTAGAAGCGAAAATAGCGGTAATACAATGATGTGTAATGCAATTTAGACAGGAAATCAAGGAAGGAGCTGTTGCAGACGGCAAAGGATATAAAAGCACTGCACCCACTTTGGCTCGGCTATATGTTGCACTCTGTCCACATCTTTTCTTCATGAGATAAAATGACACTAACTGCAGCTAGAAACAGACCAACCAATGTTGGAAATGGGAGGGGAAGAAGAGAGGCACTTGGTCTCTAATACAGCGAGCCTTGTACTCTATTAGATGAAAAAAAAAAAAAAATCAATGTCCGTCTCTCTTAGTACCTCGGTTTGAGCTGTGAGCAGAGGCAAAAAAGCAACGCGGGATACAATAGGACAGTGTTCAGCCGGGCCTTCTGCTTTGGCAAAACGGAGAAATTAGTGGATGTTTTAGAAAACAAAAGGTGCAGCCTTGAGATGGTAACTCGGAGTGACAGCCTATGATTAACACGAACGCGTTTTTTCCTTAACCGGCAGAGACAATAAGTCTGGAACGTGCAAAAAATGTTGCTCAGAGTATGGATGAGCTGTTTTGGTTGTTTTTTTTCTTTGTTAATGTATTTTCATGGTAAGACGCTTTATAACAGGGCAATGCTTTAAGGTGTTATTATCTCTTTAATCATTAATAATGCTTTAATCATGTTACTCTGTGACAGCTGTGATTTTATTTGTTACTTGTGCTATTAGGCCTATAATACTCCAATATTATTCCAACTGAAACATGATGGGGCTAAGCTGGTGTGTCTTTGTATTTAACCATTGTGTTGTTGCTTAAAGTGCTTCCCTGTGTTATTTGCAGCCTGTTGTGTCACTCTGTTATATTATAGGATGCCTGGAATCAACAGCAGCCAGACAGACGGGGGGGGGGTGAGCCGTTCATTCAGGGTGCTTCAACATATTATGCAGCAGGATAAAGAGTCTGAATTTCTAGAGTGAATAACAGATACTAGGTGATACTTAGTTTTAGGGGTCAACATTTTTTTTCTATAGGTACTGGTAGGGCTCGAGATTAACAATCTCTAAAATCCGGATGGGCTGTTTCTTCCCTGAACAACGAGTCGGTGTCGAAATCGGCAGGAGGAAAGCTAGTCAACGTTAGCTTTTAGCAGCCAGTGGACAGCACGGTCCTGCGGAGCTATCGCTAACGGAAATGTATTGAGTTTCATTATACGGCTCTCTCTATTCTGAAGCATTAGTATTTTTTTTTTTTTAGACAATAGGAGGTGTTAGCTCACAGCACCTGTCTGCTCTCACAGAACAGGTGAAGCCCCGTCATACCAGACAACCGCAGGCTGCAGCTTGTCAAGCTAGTATGTAGCAGCGGCTGTTCATTTAGTCAACGAGGAAGAGACGTTGTCACAAACAAAGACCAAATTGAGACGCAGCCCGAAACCAAACTTTTGCTTGCTCATAAATAATCTGAGATTATGACCCCCCCCTGTGGTGTGATGGTAAACACCACCTCGCTCTGTCATCTGTGTTTTCATCACATATTCGGGAAAGTTAAGGTATAAAAGGAGGGGAGGGTATATATTTGGTATAAATGCATCATGGTCAATAATGGAGGCCTCTAAGCTTTGAGGGGCAGTGTAAACCCCAGGATTAGCATAACTGTACCAGACTCAGACAGACCCAGACTGAGTGGTGGTGTTTTTGAGGGGAAGGGGGGGTCCCGTGGCAACAGATGGGACAGATTAAAGCCCACTCAGCCCCCCCCCCCCCCATCTTTAAACTCAACCGGGAGACTTGGAAAATTGGGGATGTCAGCAAAGACTACCAAAAGCTGTCCATCCGACCTCAGCAACAAGCGCGCACCCAAACACTAGCAGCAGGTACGATTAGGGCCGCCACGTGCCTCTGACGGCCGCCACGTGCGTGCCGCTTTGCACGACGATATTTAAGGCTGGTTGGCAAAAGTAAACGTCTCTACGCGGCAACGTGGTGCCAGTTCTCCCCCATCACAAGAGAGCACGGCTCGTTCGGTGGCTGTGGACAGTGCACACGTGTCTGCAGGGGAGACGGCGTGTGCACTGAGCACGTTTCATCCCCCCCCGTGTTCCTGCCTCCACTCTTGGACGTGAACTCGGAACCCGTCGCGGGGAGAGAAAACACTCGGTGGCTTTTAATCAAGTCTCGGACCGCCGTGTCTCGCGTCTCTCCGATGGGCCTTGGCAGCGAGGAAGGAGAGAGCCAGATTAGATCGCTGTTGTTTTTTAGCAGCGAGGGCTGAGGGGAAGACTGGGGTGGGAGGGTGCACCCAAGGCCAATTGGGGGAGGAGGTTTACAGGGGGGGGGAGATTAGCAAATAACTGGGCCATGGGTAAACACTCAGCAGTGCCCGCCATCATCCAATGAACAGGCTCGGAGCAGAAAACTACTCCGAAGCCTTTTGATATGACTACCCTCTCTCCCCCCTCTCTGTCCCTCTCTCATCTGCCTCGCTCCACTGGCCTTGCCTGCATACTCTGACCCACAATCCAAAATCCTGCAGCGGAAGCCAAGATCGCACAGCGAGCTCCGCTGAGCAGAACCAGGGACGGAGGGCCCGCCACGGCCAATCGGAGATAAACGCAAGAGATTGGCATCCAACCAGAAACGCTCGCAAGAAATACAGAATTTTTTTAGTCGAATGGCCAACGAGCGGAGTGGCAGACAAACCAATGAAACGTGACTACAGGAGTGCTGCCGTGGCTCAGACTGCAAATGAGCAAGGCCCGGTTGTGACTGCCTATATCTATCTTATATTGCTGTGAAAACATCAAACAAGTTTCTCCCCAAAAACTACATTTTACAAGATTACATTTGAACACATCATGACAACACGTTACCTGCTAGTTAGTCATCAATCTGAATAGAGCCTGAACGCATCATAATGTAATTCGACGGCAGCCTTGTGCTGCTTACCGGCTGCTAACAGCTAGCTGGTTAACTAGCTCTCCATCTGCGGACACAGATTTGTTGCTAGCAATGTAGCATTGTCAGGAAAATAAAATAAATATATTTGTTTAAAGATCCGGGGGAAATGGTAATTAAAGAAGCAGCCTGTGCACACTGAGGCAATGAACCAATTAGCTATTATCATCAGGGTACGTGATTTACATAATTAGTTGTGTTTATACGGAGGCATTGCTTTGTATTAATACAACAAAAATGTATGAAAATCAACCTTTTGTCCTCGTGGCAATGAAGGGAAAAAACATCAATCACATTTGAATGAAAACCCAAAATCAATTTCTAGCTAGAACTCAAGACGATAAGCTTTTTATCTGCGGTTTCAGTTTTCTTCATGCCCAAGAGCCTCTCGTAGACCAAGTATCATTACGGGGTTTTTCATTTCATAGCCTTGAATTGTAGTAAAAGTATTAATAATTCATGTCGGCATACAGTATCTAGCCAGCTTTGGGAGAAAGACGGGAGGTACTTCTGTTCTGTTCTCCGATCCTGGCGTGCAAGGTCAGTCCGTGTGTCTTGCTGTCTTTGGGTGTTGTCTCCGGCTCTGCACTTCCTCCAATTGTTCCTTTATGTTCCTCACCTCCACAGCCCCTCTCTCCTCCACTTCTGGGTCTGGATAATTAAAAAGGAAGCGTGTAGCTGAGGTAGAAGGTAGAAACGCTCATTGTTGAGGCTTCTACAAGAGATTGAGTGTCACAGTCGAGGAAAGTGCATAGTCCCTCTTAACCACAATTTGAAAACCCAGATAATATTGTTAAAGCCTTTGACTTTGCTGTAAACAATCCTCACACATATTTTTTTTCATTGCCTTTGTGAGAACATGTGCAGTACGAGATAAGACGTATGATAATTGTTTATTGCATGCATTGTCTGCCCCGTTGGGAATCTAACCCTGGCGGTGCCGTCGTCAGTTTCCTCGTCAAAAAAACAGAAAATTCCTCCTTATACTTAACCTGTAGTTTTGAACTCTCTTCCCACTCTGCATGCACACAGCGCACTCCCCTCTGGAGGCAAAGTCAGTCCCACTGAACAGTAGGCAGCAAAGGCCCGCAGGTCGAGGGCAGCCGAGGCCCACAGTAGGCCCGGGGTTGATAGCTTTATCGGAGGAGGGAAGCTGGCGCCGTGCCCGGCCGAGCCACCGCTCCATCGCGTCACCCTCTGCCCACACAGGCTAGCTTGACCTTCGGCAGGGCACAGTCACCCTCCTCCCTCCACAACACCCCCACCACCACCAGCCCCCCCCCCTTTCCGGATGAAGGAAAGGGAGGAACTGGGAGTGAGGGAAACAAACTTTCACGTTGTGTTTCCCTTATCTGAAATGACCCGAAACACAGGCTGCGTACATAAACACACAGTCTGACATTGGCTCAACATCCATCTCTCATTTCTTTTTCATTGTGTTCACGGTCGTCTTGCTGTTTTTGATTATATTTTCTATAAGGCTGGTTTCGAGTCTTCGGGTTACTTCTTTTTCTCCGAGCGTCTGCGTGTTTGCATAATGTATTTCTATTGATGATCCTTCCCTGTAAAGACTGCTGCCTCTCACAAAGCCAGACGGCCGTTCTTTAGTTGTGAATTCTCCTTTCAGACTTCTTATAGGAAGATGCTGTGTGATTAGAAATGAAGGTTTCAGTGCAATGAGAATCGACAAAGAGATGCGATGACATGGCATGAATTAATGAAGCTGTTGAGTCGCCTTTATCTTTCTCCTTACCACACTTGCTCATTAACACAAACTGCCTTTTTGGAATTTGAACGCGCTTGTCATCCAACTATTTCATTCGCTTTGTCGCAACCCAGCAGAGCTCGGCTGTGTTTCGCTCGAAATTTCTGTCCCACTTAGCTCCAACTGCTCTTGTCTCCCCACAGCGGCGCAGGGCGAGGAGAGGGAGTGCGCCTTCACCGACCAGCAGCAGCAGTGGGAGGTGGATCGAGTGGCGGGGGGCGAAGGCCGCGTCTCCCCGGAGAACACCACCATCCGATGTGTCAAGGGCAGCCACTGCTTCGGCCTGTGGGAGAAAAGTCTTCCCGGCGAAGTGCGGCTGGTCAAACAAGGTACGACTAGAGGTTTAAAATGCTAGTTTTCTTTCACACTTCTATTGGGGTTTTTAGAGAATCATAACCCGTCACCTCTCTCTCTGCCAGGCTGCTGGACTCACCTGGGCGACCACCAGGGCTGCCGAGACGACCGCTGCGTGGTGACCAACTTCCCGCCACAGATCCAGAACGGGACGTACCACTTCTGCTGCTGCGGCAGCGACATGTGCAACGTCAACTTCACAGAGGACTTCCCACCGCCCAGTCCGACCACGGCACAAACCCCCTGTAAGATCATTCACGCACACCTGCAACAATGAACCCAATCCAATGGTTTTTATGACCGATGGTCAGCTAACCGACAAAAGTCAGCTTCTCGGTCCGAAACCAAGACAGCGTTCCGGCGCAAATCTATTCAGAACTTTTATTGAAGCGCTGCAACTGTTCGCAAGTTTGCATCGCTGCCAGATGTGAAGGCGAGTATTCCGCATTTCCGTGTCTTTTATTTGTTCCGCCTCCCGTCGTGTGAAGGCCTTCGCGCTGTTCTTTTTATGCGGATGAATTGACTCAGGGGTCAATCTTCAGAGAGGCAGTCATGTCTTACACAATCGGGCGAAGGGGAAAAGAATGAAGGAAATATGACTAATTCGGAGACGAATGGGAGAAACACGAATCTAGCCCCACACGGTCCTGAAACACCTACTCCTACTCTCTCTCTCTCTCTCTCCCTCGTCCTCCTCTTCCTCCCCCTCTGCTCCGTCATACAGCCCTCACGGCTCAGTAAGGTGTCGAACAAAGCGAACACATGTATTGTTACTTGTTTAGCTGTGAATGAAAGCAATGTGTGTGTCAGGATGAGGGGGCGGGTTGATGGCGGCGGCTCATCCTCTCTCCTGCCCACACATAAACACAAACGCACGCTCTCCCCCGTCTGTCGTCTCTCCACATTCCTCGGATTACACGCCGTCTGCGGGCGTGTCCCCGCCGATGACGAGACAACGGCAGCAGGAATTCGAGGAAAAAATGTAACATTTAGCGTCGGAAGACTGTTTGATTGATTGCTTTCGTGTTGTAACTTTAAATCCGGTCTTTGTTTCTGCTCTGTTATCTCCTGACATGTCTGGGCAGATTCGTGCCAGTTTTATTAGAAGTAGTGATCGTAAGCCAAGAAGCTCGGATGACGTCGCTCGGGGCTGGAGGGTGTGAGAAGTAGGAGATGTTTTACCTCAGTAAAAGTGGCGAGTAAGCAAGTCCAGTGTTCATGTCAAAATATACTTAAAATACAGAATATGTTATGTAATCAGATTATAATTATTATTGTATTACTTTTATGTTGCAGCTGAGTTCATTTGAGCTACTTTACACACTGTAATCTATAATAATAATGGGGTAAAAAGTACAATTTATATAAGATAGTTGTCTCTATTTTGTCCATTTTTTTTTTTTTTTTTTTTTAACGTTTTAAACTGAAATTCTGGACACATCTCACACATTGCACCTTTTTAAAATGTTGTAGATTTGAAAGCGATTCTTTGGGCCAACCCCCACGCATTCGTGTGCGAGACACGTGTGCGTGCTCATGCTGCCGCGTCAGCCGGAGCCGCCCTCAGGCTCTCCGAGTCATCAATTATTGATAAAGCGGGTGTCAGCGCGTGTGTCGACGGCTGTAATGGATGCAGAGTGTGTTTCTGCAGCAGACTAGCGGCATGTTTAGGTTGTTGTGGTGCTTATGGTCCGATGCAGCTTGCACACGCTCGCGTACCCGAGACATTTAAACGTTTGTGTGCATGTCGGCCTGCGTTTGGGAAGGAAAAACAAAAGAACTTGAAAACATATTGTGTGCACACCTTCCAGTCTGTTGCACTGGATTGCATCTATTGTACAGGTGCACCTAATAAACTGGTCACTCAGCTGTTGCACACGGCCCTCCTCACTAATCAAAGGTTCCCACACACAGGTGTTACACTTTAATGTGTACTTTCTGTTGTTGATGTGTGTGTGTGTCCCCCCCCCCTCTCTCCTTGTAGACCCCCGCCCACTGCGCCATGAAGAGACAATAATCATCGCCCTGGCAACCGTCTCCGTGCTGGCCGTGGTTGCCGTAGCAGCCTTCTTCGCTTACCGCATGATGCGCAGTGAGTTACCATGGGAACCATTCAAGGCTATTTAAATGCTTGTTTGGAGAATTTTAATACGTTTTATAAAAATGAATCGGAGATGATCTCTTCTTTGAATGCGTCCCCATGTTTTTTACATTTCCTGAACTGTGTGTGTGTGTGTGTTAACAGGAGATGGTAAGCAAGGCCTTCACAACCTGAATATGATGGAGGCCGCCGGCTCCGAGAGCTCTCTGGATCTAGACAATCTCAAACTGCTGGAGGTACGCGCCCAGATGGTGTTCTCTGTTCGCCTCTCTACCTCCATCTTTGTGTCTAGTCAGGCTCCAACGTTACAGCTCCATGCTGGCATGTGGTTGTTCTTAGTGACAGTGGTGGGGATGTGTAACTGGTGAGGGTGACTCGCCACATTTAATACCCAAAAATCCTGGCCTTTCTACTCCCCCCGTTTTGAGAAGATGCAAGCTTGTATCATTGGGTCAGATATGTTATTCTCACTGGCTTCAGTGTGTGTGTGTGTGTGTGTGCGTGTGCGTGTGCGTGCGTGTGTGAAAACAAGATTTAGAAAGAGAAACCAAAGGCATAGAGGCTAAAATGCACCCAAAATACACAGAGGTCTACGGTTACGTTTTGTCGTTTCCAATGTGACCTTTTATCATCCGATCACGGCAGGACGCATTCAGGGCGCACAAAAATAGGATTTTGTTTGTTTTTTTTAGGCTTATACTGACACAGGATCCTGACAACCTGATATGGGAGAGCTCATATTGTGATAGGAAGTCAATGGAGTCTGGATGATATTCAGACACAATGACACAAGCAGGGCGAAGGGATTAAAAGGCGAGCGGAGGAACGAACGCAGGAGACGGAGCGATGACAGATGTAACTTTAAAAGAACAATTTAACTTTTCTCAGAATATCATGATTTCTTCATTTGAAACACACATTCCCAAAAGGAACACGAGGCAATTTCAATGCTGCTCACAAGCTTATTCGGCTGGTGGAAGCTTCCAGTAATGAAGTAATCATTACTGGTGGTTGGGTAAAAAAACAACAACATAGACTTTCACCCAGGAAACCGCCGTTCTTGTCCCGTGGGAAACCGAGTCAAAGTTGACTTATTTAGTAGACTTCTGGTAAACCTACGTTACTGTCCAAACCAGAACCAAAGACTGAGAGCTCTGTCTCAAGCAGGTTTCAAGTCTCTGCAAGTTTGTTATCCAACTGGGGAAAAAAGGTGAAATCAGTGCCAGACAAGAAGGCAGAAAAAGAAAACTGATAGCAATCTAAAACTGTATGGTAATATTAACCATACAGCCTTTCTGGTATGAAGTGTCTTCAATGTGACAAAAGACAGCGATCAGTGCTGAACGTTCTGATCCGGAGATGTTTGTTTTCTCTTCTCTCTCTTTCGACATCTATTCAGTGGATTTCAGAGCCGAGAGAGAGAGCGCGCTATCTTTTCAGGCAGGAGTTGAATTCAGAGCGCTGTCCTTGTGCCTTATCAAATGCAGGCGCTCGTTCTTTCACGGCAAACTCATTGTAGGGGGGGGGGGGGGGGTCTTACTCAAAGACAAAATATTCTCCTGCTTTTACAGCATACTTTATAGCCAGAGATAAATAAGTTTAATCCTTTCTCAGGCAGAACGTTTAGACCTCAATGCCACAGTGTGTTCCTGCTAATTCAGGGCACTAATTAGGAGATTTGGAACTGACTTGAGGCCATTTCTAACAGTTTGACCCCGCTGTTGGCCTTTAACTTTGTTTTTTACAATCTGCCTTCTGTCTGCTTGTCTGTCTTTATCTGCGCGGCTGCTCCTCGGGCGTTTCTTTTTTTTCTTTTTCTTTTTTGCTGCTTTGTATTTGTCATCCAATCTTTCTGTAAACAGCACAAACAAAACAATTACTTCATTCACAGTTTCTTTTTGTTCGACAAGAGAGAAATAAAGATCCATAAATACATATCCCCACCAGCTGATCGGGCGCGGTAGATACGGCGCCGTCTACGGCGGCTCTCTGGACGAACGGCCCGTGGCCGTGAAGGTATTCACCGCAGCCAACCGCCAGAACTTCCTCAACGAGTGCTCCATCTACCGGCTGCCGCTGCTGGAGCACGACAACATCGCCCGCTTTGTGGCCGCCGACGAGCGGACGGGCCCAGAGGGACGCACAGAGTACCTGCTGGTCATGGAATACTACCCACATGTGAGTAGTGTTTGGGGGGGGGTCTAGTGTGTGTGTGTGTGTTCAACATCAAGACAGGAACGCCAGGAAATCCACCATAAATAACCCAATAAATTTGCTGTCCAAATGAAGCATCATAATGACAAGTCAGCTGACCCCCAGTCAGCCTATGAACGGAGCCTATTGTGCATCGCGACCATTGCGCTAATGCGCATTGTCATGGAAACGCGGTGCAGGCCAGGACAGGAGACCGAGACGCATAATGCATCCAAATAAATGATAATCTCATTAAAACAAACCGATTTAATGTGATTTTCTTCAGCAGCGGATGTGGGCATTGCCTTTGTGATTGATTGTTGAGAGGAAAGGTGTGTGTGTGTGTGTGTGTGTGTGCGCGTTTGTGCGTCAGGGCTGATCATGGATTCATCATGGCTGACGGAGATGATTGAGGAAGGAAATGAATCATGTACAGAATCCTGTCTGGTGTCTCGATATTCCTCATAAAACGTCGTGTTTACACCGGATTCTTTAATCAGAATTCCTTTCCGCTTGCAAATATCTCATGGCTCTGCAAGGCCGTTATTGGGTGGTGATAAAATATTCTTAAATTCAGTTTTGTTGTGAATCTCCAAGGGGAGGTGAGAGCACAAGGTTGGCCTTCTCGAACGTTCTAGTGATATTTTTCTCTCAGGCCTCCACGGTGGACGGAAACGGGGAGTCCAAAAACGGGAATAAAGTCTTGACAATTTAACCCTCTGAACCTCGAGCAGTTCCGGGACATTTTTTCTTATCTGTTTTTTTCCTCTTATCTCCCCCCCCCCAGGGCTCTCTGAGTCGCTACCTGGGCGTCCAGACCAACGACTGGGTCAACAGCTGCCGGCTCGCTCACTCAGTCACCCGCGGCCTGGCTTACCTGCACACGGAGCTCTTCAAAGGAGGTGAGCTGGAGGCCACACACACACACACACCTCAAAGTTAATTACATAACTGCTCACAGTTTACTCAAGCTCCCAGGCTGTTACTGAAACACATCCGAAGAATCGTGGTGGAAAACGGGAAAGC